TTTGTCCCAGCAAACGGAATTCTTCCTGAAGGCTACAACATGGAAACCTTTCTTGATTTTGATTTAATATCACAATAGCCACTCTTCCTGGAATTTCAGCTTCTTGGCTTTAGTTTATAGATTTCAGACTAGCCAGCCCTTTGACTCATGTGATCTGACTTATTTTCCTTTTTGAACAAAACAAAACAAAACAGTACATCACTTTATACATACAGCCCCGGGCTGTATGTGGACTCTATGTGTGGACTGTGGACCATGCTGGCCTTGAACTCACAGAGAGCCACCTGCCTCTGTCTCTTGAGTGCTTGGGTTAAAGGTGTGTGCCATCAGGCCAGGCATGATCTGATTTCTTAAAAGCAATCTCTTTTTAGAGATAGATTTGGATAGATAGATGTTCTTCATAGTTTTTTCTGAAGCACACCAATATATCTTCATCCTGGGTGTGTCTCTAACAATAATGCACTTGGGAATGGCCTGCAGATTTTGGAGTGTGTTCAGCCTCAGGTTCTAAGTGGATCTATATTTCTGACATGCTCCCAGGTAGCGCTCTCATCCTACTTCCCTGTTGTCTCAGTTTGCCTTTTGTTGCTGTGAAGAGACATCATGACCACAACTCTTATAAAGGAAAACATTTCACTGTTGCTGGCTTACAGTTTCAGAGCTTTAGTCCATCATTATCATGGCAAAAGCATGGCATCATGCAGGTGGACCTGGTGCTGGAGAAGGAGCTGAGAGTTGTACATCTTGATCAGCAGACAGCAAGGAGGAGACTGTGGCACTGGGCATAGCTTGAGCATATATAATCTCAAAGTCTGCCCCCACAGTGGCACACTTCCTCAAACAAGGCCACGCCCACTCCAAGAAGGCCATACCTCCTAACAGTGCAACTCCCTATGAGCCAAGCACTCAAGCCCATGAGTCTATGGGGGCCATATCTATTCAAACCACCACACCTGTGGGTAATATTTTCAAAAGGAAAGCTTTATGCAGCCAACATTTTGAGCTCTTTCATAATCTCAGTTCTTTTCCTAAGGTATTATTTTTATTAATTTTTTTATATTTCTTCCACGAGGTACCCTCTCAGTTAATCCATTTTAATTGCTAATAACTCAGTTTGGTGCGAGTACTTCACTGTAATTTAGCCTGCGATAAACACAGCCACATGCTTCGGTCAGCAGGAGACTGCACAGGAGTCAGTGATCCTACAAGGTTGTATTGCCTAGTAAGGTTGTAGCTATCTCAGTTTGTGTAAAAACATTCTCTGACGTTCACACAATGGCAGGGTAACTTAAAGACATTTCTCGGGATGTATCTGTTATATATAACTGTATCCTTGTATGTACAGAAATCTCTATTTCATGCAACTCTATCTCCTTAGGATAGTTTTGTTCAAGAAGAATTCTTGACCCAAGGTACCTCCATTATTCAGAGCTTAGAATATTCTGTTTCTCAGCTGAGGATGTAGCTCGGTTGGTAGAGCACTTAACCTGGTATGCACAAAGCTCTTGGCTTGGTCTCCAGCAGTGCATAAACCAGCATGGTAGGGGTGTTAAAGACCAGAAGTTCAAAAGCATCAGCTGCCAAGTAAGTCCAAGACCACAATATACTGATACCTAAAGTCATGGCTTCTGCAGCGACTCAATTCTGTGCATTCATCCCTTGGACTCCACAGGTTTCCACAGGTTTTTGATGTCATTAAAATTTGCTGCTTAGGGGGCATCTATCAAAGAGGATTCACCGAATTTATTTATATATATTTTCACGTCTGCTCATATAATAGTACTGTTTGATTACCTAGTCACCTAATACCATGAGTGGCCTGCCAGAAATTGAGTAGAATTAGTTCAATAGCTAACCATAACTTAGTTTAGGATATCACATGCTGTTGTAGGCGTATAAGAGGAGCCTGGGTTAGTCTAAGGGTCAGGGGCTCCTCCTGAAGAAGTGACATCTGAGATGAGCTCTGGTTGCTTTGAGGATGTGGCTTTCAGTTCTGTAGCTGTTGGCTAGTCCTCTACCAGCAGGCGAGGCTCCAGTGACAGAACCCTAAAGTCCCCTGTATAAAGTCTCTGATGTCTCCGAGGAAGTCTATTGTAGGTGTGACTTCCATTTTCTGCAGCATGCTGCTCTGGAAATGACAGCTCAGCCCATCTGCTCTTTGGTGGCTGCAGTTTCCCAATGATAAAGCTGAATACCAGGTGCTCCCCACCCTAAAGAACTTATTGTTTTAAGGTGATTTATCATAGAGTCATTCTCTTGGATACCCTCCGCCACTGTTGCTTGCACTAATATATTTTTTTGACAGTTGAGAAGAAAACCACACCACAAATCTACAGGACACAAGAGTGTGGTATTAGCATAAAAATAGATGTAGGCCAATAAAACTGAGGATCCTGAAGTCCGTATATTTATGGCCAATTGATGGTTTTAAAGATGTATTTTGTTTTAAGTGTGTGTGTGTGTGTGTGTGCGTGTGTGTGTGTGTGTGTGTGTGTGTGGCTGTTTTGTTTTACATTTGTGTTATGTGTGTGTGAGGGGGTGTTCGTGCGTCTGTGTGAATATATGTCTTGTATGTATGGGTACCCACAGAGATGAGGCTAAGCCAGCAGATCCTCTGGAGCTGGAGCTACAGGTGGTTGTGAGCAGCCCAACATGGGTGCTGGGAACTGAATTCATGTCCTCCAGAAGAGAACAAGTGCTCTTAACTGCTGAACCATTCTCCTGACCCTGGCCAAATGAGTTTTGATAGGGGTGCCAGGACCATTTGATGGAAAAAAAGAACCCTCCTTTTGACTACTGGTGCTGTGTGTTTACACACCAGAAATGTTGAACCCCTACTTCATACCAATCCCCAAATGACCTAAATATAGGCACTAAGACAATAAAACATGGCAGGCTGCTCAGGGCAATCTTTTTTATTTTGGATTTGGTACTGAATTCTGAGATAGGACACCAAAACCCAAATAATAAAAAGATGTTTGTTTTGTTTCTGTTTTTGTTTTTTTAATGTAGAGACAACTGTCAGACTGGGAAAAATAACTACAGTTATGTATTAAGAGTGTAGGATCTAGGATTTATTTGTTTGTTTCATAATCCAACAAGAACAAGAGACAGCCCAATTTAAAGGTGGGCAAGATGTAAACATTTGCGTCCCCACAGAAGACAGAGAAGTGGCTTCTTAGCACGGGAAATGGTACTCCGTGCTGCAGGTCCCTGAGGATGTGCAGTTAAAACCACCCAGGCGGAGCAGCCCTTCAGGCCTACTTGGGCTTCACCTAAAATGTATTTGTACTTGTTTGTTTGTTGATGAGTGAGCGCTTTGCCTCCATGTATGTCTGTGCAGCACACGTGGGCCTGGCGTCTTTGGAGGTCAGAACAGGGCATTGGCTCCCCCAGAACTAGGGTTACAGACAGTTGTGAACCACCATGTGGGTGCTGAGAATTAAACCCAGGCCCCCTACCAGGGCAGCCCGTGATTTCAGACACTCACCCATCTCTTTACCCCGTACTTGGAAACTTGAAAAGACAGTGAAAGAGCATGTTGGCAGAGATGGGGAGAAACTGGAGCCTTCTTAGTAGAACTGTAGAAAATAGACACTGATGAGAATGTAAAAACAACAACCAAACAAATTTGTGTTTTCTTTAAAAGTTAAACTCATAATTAAAGTATCACCTAGCAATTCCAATGTCTTGTACATACTCCAAAGAATTGCAAAACCTATGCTCAGGCAAACAGACGCAGCAGCACCATTCAAACTGTGGGAAGGGGAGAAACAAGACAAATAAATAAATGAAAAGCAGCGTAGCTGCAAGCAAGGCATACGTAAAGGAGCTAAGCCATGGAAAAGTACCTGCACCCCCGACAAGGCGGGGGTAATGGCCATTCTTAGCAGCCGTCAACTTGTCTGGAATGAACTGAAACCTAAGGCTGGGTACATCTGTCAGGGCTTTTTCTTAATTAAATCATTTAAAGTGGGAAGACTCATCCTAGAGCTGGATCTTTTGAGGTGAAGAGATTTACCTTCAATCCAGATCTTCTGAGGCATATATATGAGATTAGATATTCGTATATATATATATATATATATATATA